AACGGATATCATTTGCCAGTAATCCTGGTAAGTAAAAATCACCCTAAATACTTTTAATTTGCATGATGTGTCTACATTCATGCATATACATACACCAACGCCTTCAAATATTTATAAAGCAATTCTTCTGAAGGTTTCATATGCATTTACAATGTACCATATTCTGTTGTGAGGAGGTGCATATCAGCCGACCACTGGAATGTGCGATGCTAGATGGAAATTAATTACTCTTACCGATGCAATGAGAATGTGCTTCAGAAGTTTGGTTACATGTTGTCTGTGTCTTCACTTTCATTTTGTTTAATTATATTGGTTGATTATAAACATATTTATTCCACTGATCTACACTCACTGGATTGTTTATTAAGTACACCCATCTAGTACTGGGTCGGACCCCCTTTGCCTCCAGAACATCCTGAATTCTTTGTGGCATTCTACTAGGTGTCGGAAACGTTCCACAGGGATGTTGGTCCATGTTGATGCAATGGCATCACGCAGTTACTGCAGATTGGACGGCAGTACATTCATACTGCGAACAGCCCGTTCCATCTCCTTCCAAAGATGCTCTTTTGGGTTGAGCTCTGGGGACTGCGCAGGCCACTCAAGTAAACGGAACTCCCTGTCATGTTCCAGGCGACGTTTTTGCACTCCTCAATTGGCCAGTGTCGGTGATTGCGTGCTGTGTTTGTCTGCTGCAGTAGCCCATCCGTGACAAGGAAAAACAGAAAATCTTGTGTTTATTTTATATACCGTCATTTACCCTCCTCTTATTTTCCATCACTGCTGTAATTCCACACAAAACCATCATTATGACTCAAGACGAGAGGCAAATTCTGCATCCTCTCCAACTGTTGGTTCACACAAGCTAAGGGATTAGCTCGATAGCTCTTCTAGCTCGTACTCTCTGCCTGCCTCTCAGGCTGCCTCTGCCTGGCTCTCAGGCTGCCTCTCTGCCTGCATCTCAGGCTGCCTCTGCCTGGCTCTCAGGCTGCTTCTCTGCCTGGCTCTCAGGCTGCTTCTCTGCCTGGCTCCCAGGCTGCCTCTCTGCCTGCATCTCAGGCTGCCTCTGCCTGCCTCTCAGGCTGCTTCTCTGCCTGGCTCTCAGGCTGCCTCTCTTCCTGCCTCTCAGGCTGCCTCTCTTCCTGCCTCTCAGGTTGCCTCTCTACCTGGCTCTCAGGCTGCCTCTCTTCCTGCCTCTCAAGCTGCCTTTCTTCCTGCTTCTCAGGCTGCCTCTCTTCCTGCCTCTCAGGCTGCCTCTCTTCCTGCCTCTCAGGCTGGCTGTCATGTTGCTCTTCCTCTCAGGCTGCTTCTCTGCCTGGCTCTCAGGCTGCCTCTCTGCCTGCATCTCAGGCTGCCTCTGCCTGCCTCTCAGGCTGCTTCTCTGCCTGGCTCTCAGGCTGCCTCTCTTCCTGCCTCTCAAGCTGCCTTTCTTCCTGCTTATCAGGCTGCCTCTCTTCCTGCCTCTCAGGCTGCCTCTCTTCCTGTCTCTCAGGCTGGCTGTCATGTTGCTCTTCCTGTCAGCCAGCTCCTGCTCCTCAACCGACATCCCACAGTAAACGTCAAATGACATGTATGTCAAGATTGTTTCCCCTTGGGAGTTCAGCTTGCTGAGGGTGAGGAGAGTCTGGGCTCTTACTCTTGACAACAGGAGTGATGAGACGCCTTTTGGAAATTGAATTTAGACAGTAGCTATAAAGCTAAAGTGGTAGGCTAGAGAGCATTGATTTAAATACCATTACTACTGACTTATTGTCTCATACAACTCCATTGAGGATACTAGAGATTCTTAAAAATATAAAAATATTTCACATAACCTCCTTTCCCCTTTTGGTAATCAGCCATTAGCCACAGACGGATGTTGACAGTTTGTTTTTTCATTATTATTCAAGGTCACATATTGGATGCGTTCGTTCTATTATGTTTGCTTCTTTGTGTTTGTGTTCCCGGGTTGAGTCAGTGTTTGCTACTGTAATTGTCATCTCCCAGATATTCCAATTAGATTTAATATGGAGTCTGTAAGAGATTTAATAGGAGGTAGAAAGACAAGCCTTGCTCAAGGGCACATTGACAGATTTTTCACCTTGTCGGCTCAGGTATTCGAACCAGCAACCTTTCGGTTACTGGCCCAACATGCTAACCGCTAGGCTACCTCAAATACCTGACTTACAGCTGATGTAATAATAATTTGACAGTGATTTGACAAAATATTACTTTTAAGGCTTTCATGATCCCTATATTAACCCAGAGATCAAGCCAATGGCATGTGATTTAAAGGGTAGGAAAGGGAGGATGCTGCACACTGACAAATCACCAGATGTACTTTCATATCCCCCTCATGCTACATGCATGACTTATGAATGATTTGTGAAGAATCGAAGTAGTTCATTTTAAGACGTTATGAATGTGCTATAAAGCCTTTACAGTTGTTGTTATTTTATAGTGGGACTTGACTCCTCTGTCACAAATATGTAAAACTGTAATAATAATAATGTCATATCAGATCAATCAAGCGCAATCATGACAGCTGATGTCAGTTTGGCAACCAACTTAGCAGTCATGTCACAAACCTAAAAGGATCCCTAGCCAATTAGTTGGCCGAAACATTACCCTCTGTCATGGCAATTTAAAGTTGGTTACAGCAGCTGTTGTTTTGACATCTGACTTGTCATGTTCATGGTACAGTAGAGATCAGTCAGTCCTGTGCTGGATCAAGTCCAGTTTGGTTATGAGGAGTAATGGGTCTGGTGTAGGCTGATAGAGATCTTTGAGGTGAAAGTAAATGGCGGTATAGCTCTGCTTTGAGAAATGTGTGTTTTCTAAGAGCTGTCAAGTACAATCCAAGCCAACAGATATATTGTAACCTATTTTTCCTGTGTTTTAATGGTATAACTGATAACCAATCTCTGATAACAAGTAGGTTTTGGACCTCAGTGGAGGTAGAGCAAACTAGCTTAACTGAACCCTAAACAATAACTGTAAAATCTAAAATACCATCAATGTTTTACTCCTTTTATGATAGATACCGACAGTGATATATTATATCTCAGAGAAAAAATATGAATTACAGTGAGTGACTGTACAAGCAGCTTCTGCTGTATTTTGGAGGATGAGCCATACTTTGTCCAGAGTGGCACTAACAGCAAGTTCCAATTTACCAGCACTCATCGTTGGTGCAACATGAACATTGAACAGGAAAAATAGAGTGAGAATGGTCCAATGACATCAGTATGCATGGTCCTCAACAAAGCTAAATATAGACTGATTTCATATCTGCATGGGGTTAGGAAGTACAATATGTGTTTTTATTTATAGTTTAGTTCACAAATAAGATTATGACTGCTGAACTGTACATTCAAACAAGCCTCTGCTGTATAGGCCTACCTTAAGCTTTCGTTCATTGCATTAGAAAAAATTAGGGGGGGGGGGGGGGGACGACAGTACAATGTAATCACTCTCATACTAACAAATCAATTTCTGCATAATCTTTCATGGTTCCATCTGAATCATGAATTTGAATAATGATAGTGAATGTGTATGTGTGTCATGTCATTTCAACCATTTCTATTCAAATATGGGCATCATTGAAACATTATTGAGGCACACTCCAAAGCCACTGTGCTTTCTGGCCTACTGTAATCAGATGCGGTCTGATATGCTGATTTCATCAGTATGTAAAACTTGTTTCCCAAACTTGTTTTGGTTTTTGCCCATAGCACTACACAGCTGATTAAAATAATCAAAGCTTAATGATGACTTGATTATATCAGCTGTGTAGTGCTAGGGCAAAAACCAAAAAGTGCACCCCTTGGGGTCCCCAGGACCGAGTTTGGAAACCCTGAGTGAAACAATGATATCCCTGCAGATTTTGAAGTGAGCACTCCCAAAGATTTCTTAATTTACTTATTTCTATGCACATGATTTATTGAGACCTGTCCACCAGAAAGCAACATCTCCCCCTACTCAATTTTTAAAAGACCTTGCTGCTGGTATGGCTTAGCACCCAATGGATGTGTGCATTTTCATGCCATGAGGTTGAATGCAAGAGGCTAACCAGGTCACTAAGGCTATAGAAAAGACACGAGTGGAGTGGACAGGTTCCTTGGGTAGTCTGAGCATGCACCGGCTCCCTGTTATGACAACCCCAATACATGGTTGTCTTTTCTTTTCTTTTCCGCAGCTCTGTTGATTGTTGAAGTGGAAGAAAAACCATTTCACCTTTTCCTATTCAATCACCTGTTAGCACAAGACTCTGTTGACAATAGAACTGTAGAGCTGGAGGGTTTCTCACACTGTCTACTACATGTTGTGTTCTGTGTTAACTGATAGATTGCCTTTCCCATATCTAGTAAAGCATTAGATTAGCTATCATACTTGCTATGGGTAGTGTTGTATATTGGAAGGAATTCTATCAGGGCGGCTTTGGTCTCACAATTCTTTCATCAGTCCCAGTGAAACGAGCATCAAACTATTGTGCATGATTCATTTGAAAATACCATGGGAGCATAATCTGTTGGTTTTTCTGAACACTAGCCTTTGATTTCAGAACTATTTTATCTCTCAGTTTCTGTGGAACCATCACTAATTTCTGCAACAACACTGTGATTAGAGCATTACCAGGGTGACTCATGATTAAACCTATTAGGAGTGAGCTCATCTTTGATCCTCACAGTTGGAACACAATCCACCATTCTTGTAAAATAAAACATCCAAAAGGAAATAGTTGCTCAAATTTGTGCAATTTAGTGATTCAGGACATGAGACATAATATAAATTGTAGTGTTATGAGAACCAGAAATAATTAATGAACTTTCCTCCCTATCCTCGTGGTTTGAACATTAGAATTAATTGGTTTTAAAACATTTGTGAATTCATACGTTCATAAATGATCAATCTTGTGTTCCCTAAAGTCCCTGTAGCCCCATTGCAGTCATAATTTAGCAGCATGAACCACATCATGTGCTTCTCTCATTCTCTTCCAGAACTTCTAAAGCACTCCCAAAATGTCAGATCTGGAAGACTTCAGCAAAACAGCAGGGCATTGGAACACATCAGACAGCTACCAGCTGAATGCCACCAGTGTGATCGTGCCCGTGGTGTTCTCCCTCATCTTCCTGCTGGGGACCATTGGGAACAGCCTGGTCCTGGCCGTCCTCCTCCGCAGCGGCCAGGTGGGATACAACACCACCAACCTGTTCATCCTCAACCTCAGCGTGGCCGACTTCTTCTTCATCGTCTTCTGCGTGCCTTTCCAAGCCACCATCTACTCCCTGGAGGGCTGGGTGTTTGGCTCCTTCATGTGCAAGGTGGTCCACTTCTTCATCAACCTCACCATGTACGCCAGCAGCTTCACGCTTGCCGCCGTCTCTGTCGACAGGTATGTACGCTGTAGCTCTTGTTCGCTAATGTCTCATTTTACGTTCAAATGTCAAAACATTGAAATACTGTATACAAATGTTTCTACTCGTATGCACATTCCAATTTTGGGTTAACTACTTCTTTATGGCACATAACGAGGACCTGATAGGAATAGACTTAATTTGTGAAATAATTTGTCATTTTTATTTGGCTGAGTTCTAACCGAATGCACAGAGACATAACCTGTGCAGCAGCTCTAAAGGTCAATGCCAATTATAGTACTGAGTTCTATTGCCAAGCCAAGGTCACTATTCCCCTCACCTCATTAAAGTCCAGCACAATTCCTCTCTATACAAGCGACCTATGCTCTTTCTACAGAAGAGGATGGACGCTCAATTAGCAAAGCACAAGGAAGTAACCTATATTGTAGTCATCCATTGGTCATTATTACAAAACAGCCTTGACATTTTCACAGAGTATAGGGAGATAGGGAGAATGTGGATCAGGCATTTCTTTATTGGCAACCCTGTTGGTCACGTTAATTGAAACCCAGTATTCATGTGATCAAGGGAAGGGCATTTTATCTGCATTAAAATGTGGAAATGAAAGAGTAGGTCTTGACCTGAAATTGAGGCTGAATCTGTGATTGAGTACAGTAAAAGAGCACTAATGTATTATCCCTGCATTAAATTGATGTATTCTTCTTTCCTGCATAAATGGATGCCTTTGATTCTGCAGGGCCCTAGCTATGCTCAGCCCAGTGAAAATAACTGCTCTTTTTTTTCTACATTAAATAAGGGAGCAGAAACCCTGGTGTCGTTGTGACACTCTGGCTCTATGGACTTTATAATTGAGCCAGGGTTGTTCATTTTCATGTGTTTGGGTGTATTTCATTTGGTGGTGTTGGGGATGGGTGAGTTTCATTTTGTTTGTGTCTATGGTGATTGGTCTATGACTCCCAATCGGAGGTAACGAGTGTCAGCTGTCGGCTCGTTATCTCTGATTGGGAGCCATATATATTCTGTGTGTTTTCTCCTTTGTTTGGTGGGTTATTGTTTCCGTGTTGCTGTTAGTCTGTATCAGTATTTGAACTTCACGTATCGTCATTTGTTGTTTTCTTCGTGGTTGCTTTAAATAATAAAGTCATCATGTTCACTCCACGCGCTGCGTATTGGTCCGCTCCTTCAGACGATCGTGACAGAATAACCCACCACAAAAGGACCAAGCAGCGTAACAAGCGGCAACAGGACCTACCTACACAGGAGTTATGGACGCCTCCTAAGGATTTTTGGACATGGGAGGAGATTCGGGCTGGAAAGGGTCCTTGGGCACAACCGGAGGAATATCACCGCCCTCGTGAAGAGCTGGAGGCAGCCAAAGCCGAGAGGAGGTGGTACGAGGAGGCAGCGCGAAGGCGAGGCTGGAAGCCCGTGGAAGAGAGGCAACCCCAAGAAATTTTTTGGGGGGGGCACATGGCTTGGGCAGCTGGGCAGCAGGAGGCTGCCACAGGGAGAAAAGGAGAGAAGGCTAACGGAGTACGGGAGCCATTGGCGAGTAGAAGGAGGGAAGTTGTTGTGGCACGGCATGAGAGACTGAAGTGTGTTACCAGTCCGGTCCGGCCCGTTCCTGATCCCCAGTTAAGGCCAGTGGTGTGTGTTCCCGGTATGGACCGGCCTGTTCCTACTCCACGCACCAGGTCCACGATGTGCGTCGCCAGCCGGCCAGAGTCTGCCGTCTGCCCAACGGCGCCTGAACTGGCCGTCTGCCCAACGGCGCCGGAACTGCCCGTCTGCCCTAGGGCGTCTGAACTGCCCGTCTGCCAAGCGCTGCATAAGCCGCCCGTCTGTACTGAGCCTGCAAAGCCGCCCGTCTGCCATGAGCCTTCAGAGCCGTCCGCCAGATCGGAGCCGCTAGAGCCTTCCGCCAGACAGGAGCCGCTAGAGCCTTCCGCCAGACAGAATCATACACCTGCTATGGAATCAGCAGGAGCCGACGCAGCCCATACTAGACTGGAAGCTCAGGTTCGGGACCAGCAAGAGCAGCTCCTGCAGATGGGAGCCGCCCTGCTGGAGGTGATGACTGCAATCCGAGGCTGGGGTCCGCCTCCACCGCCAGCCGCCCAGCCAGCACCATCAGCCAGCCATGAGCAGCCAGATCCGTCAGCCAGCCATGAGCAGCCAGATCCGTCAGCCAGCCATGAGCAGCCAGATCCGTCAGCCAGCCATGAGCAGCCAGATCCGTCAGCCAGCCATGAGCAGCCAGATCCGTCAGCCAGCCATGAGCAGCCAGATCCGTCAGCCAGCCATGAGCAGCCAGACCCGTCAGCCAGCCATGAGCAGCCAGACCCGTCAGCCAGCCATGAGCAGCCAGATCCGTCAGCCAGCCATGAGCAGCCAGATCCGTCAGCCAGCCATGAGCAGCCAGATCCGTCAGCCAGCCATGAGCAGCCAGATCCGTCAGCCAGCCATGAGCAGCCAGAGCCGTCCAGCCAGGATCCGCCAGAGCCGTCCAGCCAGGATCCGCCAGAGCCGTCCAGCCTGGATCCGCCAGAGCCGTCCCGCCGGGATCCGCCAGAGCCGTCCCGCCGGGATCCGCCAGAGCCGTCCCGCCGGGATCCGCCAGAGCCGTCCAACCGGGATCCGCCAGAGCCGTCCAGCCGGGATCCGCCAGAGCCGTCAAGCCGGGATCCGCCAGAGCCGTCCAGCCGGGATCCGCCAGAGCCGTCCAGCCGGGATCCGCCAGAGCCGTCCAGCCGGGATCCGCCAGAGCCGTCCAGCCGGGATCCGCCAGAGCCGTCCAGCCGGGATCCGCCAGAGCCGACCAGCCGGGATCCGCCATTCAGCCTGGTACTGCCCCTTAGTCCGGTGCTGCCCCTTAGTCAGGTACTGTCCCTTAGCCCGGTGCTGCCCCGTAGTCCGGTGCTGCCCCGTAGTCCGGTGCTGCCCCTTAGCCCGGTGCTGCCCCTTGTCCCGGTGCTGCCCCTTATCCCGGTGCTGCCCCTTATCCCGGTGCTGCCCCTTAGGCCGATGCTGCCCCTTAGTCCGGTGTTGCCCCTTAGTCCAGGTGGGGTTAGTTGGAGGGTGGTCATTGGGAGGAGGCTACCGAAGCAGGTTGTGACTGTGGTGGGGTGGGGATCACGACCGGGGCCAGAGCCGCCACCGTGGACAGACGCCCACCCAGACCCTCCCCTAGTCCTGATGTTGGTGCGCCCGGAGTTCGCACCTTTAGGGGGGGGTACTGTGACACTCTGGCTCTATGGACTTTATAATTGAGCCAGGGTTGTTCATTTTCATGTGTTTGGGTGTATTTCATTTGGTGGTGTTGGGGATGGGTGAGTTTCATTTTGTTTGTGTCTATGGTGATTGGTCTATGACTCCCAATCGGAGGTAACGAGTGTCAGCTGTCGGCTCGTTATCTCTGATTGGGAGCCATATATATTCTGTGTGTTTTCTCCTTTGTTTGGTGGGTTATTGTTTCCGTGTTGCTGTTAGTCTGTATCAGTATTTGAACTTCACGTATCGTCATTTGTTGTTTTCTTCGTGGTTGCTTTAAATAATAAAGTCATCATGTTCACTCCACGCGCTGCGTATTGGTCCGCTCCTTCAGACGATCGTGACAGTCGTTTACCTTTTGGAGGGGGACATTCATTTGATGTGAAAAATGAGCATCCACTCAGGCTACAGCTGAGACCTAGAATACCCAGCAGCAATTGTTTCACTGCCAGGTCGGGATGAACAATACACACACACACTGATTGCCCTTTCATGAGTTCCATTTGCAGCACCAATGTGCCGCTTTTATATTAACCCCCAGAAGCAAGAGCTAATAATATTTTAATGTCTTTGTGCAAGCAACACAACAGTAAAAACAATTAATTCCATTTAGAAGGTGGAGTATAATGAAATCCCAGTTGACTTGCAATTACACATATAAAGCTCTTTCCATGACATAGACTGACCAGGTGAATCCATGTGAAAGCTATGATTCCTTATTGATGTCACCTGTTAAATCCACTTCAATCAGTGTAGATGAAGGGGAGGAGACAGGTTAAAGAAGGATTTTTAAGCCTTGAGACAAATGAGACATGGATTATGTATGTGTGCCATTCAGAAGGTGAAGAGACAAAATATTTAAGTGCCTTTGAACGGGGTATGGTAGCAGGTGCCAGGTGCACCGGTTTGTGTCAAGAACTGCAACGCTGCTGGGTTTTTCATGCTCAACAGTTTCCCGTGTGTATCAAGAATGTTCCTCCACCTAAACGACATCCAGCCAATTTGACACAACTGTGGGGAGGATTGGAGTCAACACGGGCCAGCATCCCTGTGGAATACTTTCGACACCTTGTAGAGTCTGTGTCCCGACGAATTGAGGCTGTTCTGAGGGCAAAAGGGTGGGTGGGGTGCAACTCAATATTGGGAAGGTATTCGTAATGTTTTGTACACTCAGTGTAAATTGATTCATGGTATTATGTTTTAATGGAATATGTACCTGTCTTTCTGTTTGGTCTAGGTATCTGGCCATTCGCTACCCTCTTCGCTCTAGAGAGTTGAGAACGCCCTGTAATGCTGTGGTTGCCATGGTAGTCATCTGGGGACTATCATTGATCTTTGCAGGACCGTATTTGAGCTACTACGACCTCATAGATTACGCCAACAGTAACGTGTGTGTTCCAGGTTGGGAGGAGTACAACCGCAAGGTGCTGGACACGTGCACCTTCGTGTTTGGTTATGTGATCCCCGTGCTCATCGTGAGCCTGTCCTACACCAGAACCATCAAGTACCTGTGGACAGCTGTGGACCCTCTGGACGGGATGTCAGAGTCCAAGAGGGCTAAGCGCAAAGTCACCAAAATGATCATCATCGTCACAGTGCTCTTCTGCATATGCTGGCTGCCCTATCATGTGGTGATCCTGTGCTACCTGTACGGAGACTTCCCCTTCAACCAGACTACATACGCATTCAGGATCCTCTCTCACTGCATGGCCTACGCCAACTCCTGCCTCAACCCCATTGTGTACGCCTTGGTGTCCAAGCACTTTCGCAAAGGCTTCAAGAAGGTATTCAGCTGCATTCTCAGTAAGAACAGCAGGAATAAAGTGCATGTGATACATGTGGCCAACACGGTGCCTGGGTTCGAGGCGGGGTCCACAGAAGTGTCACAAATGAATGAGGACAATGTACGACAAAATGACTGTGAGATGAGCAGCCGGCCCATCGCCGAGCCGAGGGAAGCAACTATAAGCCATTTTCAGAAACAGCCTTGAATGATGAGGCCTATGGTAAAGGACTCTGTGCAGATTGCCTTATCACAAAGACTTTGGATTCCAACCTCAAAGGGATGATGACAGTATCTCGGTTTTTGAGATGGTGACAAATGGGAATTTGATGAGAGGGTAAAGAGAGCATGAGAATGGTTCAAATAGAGAATTACAAATTAGAATACTAGTCATTTAATTTATGGGTTGCACCTGCGTTTCAATATTGGTTTGAACATTTGTTTTAGAACTGATGCCGACTGAGCATTCTACTCAATGCATTATCAATGAGCCCAGATGAAGATATCATCAAGTGCATTACAATGGCTTGGAAATAATGACATTTCAAAATGAGGCAAATAATTTGTAGGAAAACCTTTTTCACCAGATGGACTTCCAGAATAACGTTAGCTAGCAAGCTAAGATTGAAGTGAGACTACTGAATTTTAGTTAGCTAACGTTAGCATTGCTAGCTATTTTTGACTAACTTTGCTAGCTAATGACAACACTACCATCTGTCTAAAGTACATTTGACGAAATGATAATGATGGCAAAGTGGTTTCATAGTAAATATTTGTCTACTTTATCAACGTCATTTAAACGAAACCCTCCATTCAGAATGATTGGGTTTATCACAACTTTTGGGCACCACTATGGTGGAGGGCAGCTTGAGAATGCTCATAACAATGGCATGACGCGACCGAGTGATGGAGGTGCAACCTATGAATAGGATCTCTAGAGCAGATGCTCTTATCCAGAACGACTTACAAATTGGTGCATTCAACTTATGATAGCCAGTGGGACAACCACTTTCCTTTTTTATGGGGGGGTGGGTAGAAGGATTACTTTTATACTATTCCAGGTATTCCTTAAAGAGGTAGGGTTTCAAGTGTCTCCGGAAGGTGGTCAGTGACTCCGCTGTCCTGGCGTCGTGGGGGAGCTTGTTCCACCATTGGGGTGCCAGAGCAGCGAATAGCTTTGACTGGGCTGAGCGGGAACTGTGCTTCCGTAGAGATAGGGGGACTAGCAGGCCAGAGGTGGATGAACGTAGTGCCCTCGTTTGGGTGTAGGGTCTGATCAGAGCCTGAAGGTAAGGAGGTGCCGTTCCCCTCACAGCTCCGTAGGCAAGCACCATGGTTTTGTAGTAGATGCGAGCCTCAACTGGAAGCCAGTGGAGTGTGCGGAGGAGTGGGGTGACATGAGAGAACTTGGGAAGGTTGAACACCAGATGGGCTGCAGCGTTCTGGATAAGCTGTAGGGGTTTAATGGCACAGGCAGGGAGCCCAGCCAACAGCGAGTTGCAGTAATCCAGATGGGAGATGACAAGTGCCTGGATTAGGACCTGTGCCGCTTTCTGTGTAAGGTAGGGTCATACTCTGCGAATGTTGTAGAGCATGAACCTACAGGATCGGGTCACCACTTTGATGCTAGTGGAGAACGACAGGGTGTTGTCCAGGGTCATGCCAAGGTTCTTTGCACTCTGGGAGGAGGACACAATGGAGTTGTCAACCGTGATGGCGAGATCATGGAGCGGGCAGTCCTTCCCTGGGAGGAAGAGCAGCTCTGTCTTGCCGAGGTTCAGCTTGAGGTGGTGATCCGACATCCACACTGATATGTCTGCCAGACGTGCAGAGATGCGATTCGCCACCTGGTTATCAGAAGGGGGAAAGGAGAAAATGAATTGTCGTCTGCGTAGCAATGATAGGAGAGACAATGTGAGGATATGACAGAGCCAAGTGACTTGGTGTATAGAGAGAATAGGAGAGGGCCTAGAACTGACCCCTGGGGGACACCAGTGGTGAGAACACGTGGTGCGGAGACAGATTCTTGCCACGCCACCTGGTAGGAGCGACCTGTCAGGTAGGACGCAATCCAGGAGTGAGCAGCGCCGGAGATGCCCAACTCGTAGAGGGTGGAGAGGAGGATCTGATGGTTCACAAATGTATTAGGCTGGTGGTGTTATCTTTTTGCTTTGCATATATTTGTATTTTTCAAGTTTCTCTCTGATGTTTACAGCACTCAGTCACTTAAGAGTTGCGTTGCTGTTGTAAATTCCATGCTGCCAACTATATTATCATTTATGGCCTCTATTCACTTATATTATCTAATCAAAGTCTATTAAACTCTATGAAGTCAACTTCTCTTTTCTCTGTTTCCTTTCTTCACTTTCCTAGTTTCCCCTTTCCTAATTGAGTCTCCTTAAAAGCTTGTATACTACCTCACTGCTGTGTTAAACTACCCTGCTTCTTTCTCATGTTCTTACCCTCCCTCTCATTTAGAGATTCCAAGAAATGCCATTTTCCACCAGCAGGACTATTTACCTGAAAAAGGCCAGAACAGAACAGTATATATTTTATATTTAGAACTCTCCTTCATACCCGGCAATTTTGTCAAAATGCAATGTGCTTTCTGTATAATAGTTTTTTGCCTTTGTGACACTTCCTTATGTCTGTACTTTATGTATTTCTATCAATTGTTGTTTATGTGTATTGGATGAGATTATGTATTTGGTAAAATATTGGCAAAACATTTTAGAAGTGGATGTAAATAGAAATGATCAAATAAAAGGTTTTATGTTACGGTACTTTTCTGAGTATTTAATGCTATTATTGGTAACATATCTAACCATAATCCTAGCTTCATGTGCACAACCGGGTTCAACCCTAACCCTAACCCTTACCATAGCTTCATGGCCACACCTTGATTCACCCCTAAACTTAGACATACCCCTAATTAGTCTTTATGAAAGGTATGTTCATGTAAAGTAGCTATTTATAAGCAATTCGTTTAAACTAAAATGAACAAATATTGTGTTCTAAACATTCAAGCTCTAGCAGACCATGCTTTAAAAGCTGAATTAGTTCAGCTTATTAACTACTTTTCCTGTGAAACAAATAGCTCATCACCTCAATGATATCTTAGCCCATATACTGTAGATTTTCAACGTCTCTAACTCTCAGTATGACTAATTAAAAGCGAATTCCGCCTGGGGGAATAGTAATTGCTTTTATGGGAATTGCTTTTATCCTTATATGGGAATTCAGTCCCTACATCAATATTCATAAGTACAGTATTGAAACGTTTAGAAAAGCAATAAGAAGTTCTAACAGTCACATCATTATATATTATATATTGTGTTCTTTGCTATGCTATGCAACATGCACATTACCTCTTTAAAAGCCAGGATGGAGTTTGCATCCTTTTCTTATTCACCCATTAATAATAGGAGGATACACATGTGACACACACTTCACATCAGAAATGCTTTGCATGTTCTTTTTGAGAACCTTTACTAAAAGGTAGTAGAACAATGATGTTCTAAAGTGGTCAGTATCACACATCTTTTATTCTGAGGGTTGGAAAATATAATGAGATAATCCGATCTCAATAGAAGAGAGCAACTATTATCATGCAAAGAGTAGAACTCATTTACAATGCAAGACGTGAGGAGCCTCAGTTAGCTAAATCCCACTTCAGGTATATGGCTAATAAAATGTATATTATCAAACTAACAGTCACAGGTTCAGTCTCACCCAATTCTTATGAAGCATTTTCCAAGACCTTTCCAGTCAGGCTCACCATCCTACACATTTGATAATTGTCTCTCCAAATGGTGGTTCGATACATCCACCCACTCCATTGATCCTATGCTTTCCATGGCAGGCAATAATTTCCCATGTTTCATTCACTGGCATTACAATGAGTACAGACAGTAAATATAATTATTGAACTACAGGCTCTCTGTTTGCACTGATATGATTATAGAAAGGCAATGTTTGTCTTGCGATTTTTGGAGGATTTTTAAATGATGCTCTATAAGGCTCAGTACTTTGTTCTGAATTGTCGTGGCAACCAATCACTAAGCCTGCAGCCTTCCTTGTCCTTACCCTCATATTTTTCAAACCTTGGAGCATTACATCCTTGAACGCATCTGACCCCGTTTGTACATGGAATAAATATGAAACTGTATAAAGATTCAGAGTAGGTTACTACGGTGCTGTGCATATACACGAAAGAGGATTGTTTTTGCTCCATTTAGGCCAGTGGAGGCTGCTGAGGGGAGGATGGCTCATAGTAATGGCTGTAATGGAGTCAATGGAATGGTATCAACCACATGGAAACCACATGTGACTCCATTCCAGCCATTATTATGAGCCGTCCTCCCCTCAGCAGCCTCCACTGATTTAGGCCTACCTGTTCTTGGCAGATTGTTCATTGATGGTTCTTCCTTTTCCTCTAGGAAGTAACTCATGCTGTAGTAGAATATCAATGAAAGCAGCAAGAGAGAGTGAGAGAGTGAGAAATGGGGGAGAGAGGGAGCCCCCAGAGATCCTTGTATCTCTGGAATTTGACCTGGGAGCAGGCAGCATTTGCATACAGGAGTTGCCTCTTTGCTTCACTTTGAAGGAGCTCCTGATGAAATAATAAAGCTTGGAAAGAATAAAGTCAAATGTAATTATCGTGCATGGACATTACAGAATGACTCTAGCCAATGTGTGCTAAACGAAAGCAACGTTATGCATAAACACAGCATGATTATGACTCATAAGTGTATCATCATCATGGTGGGACTGCATTCCTTCATGTAATCACACCCAAACCCCAAAGCAAGCGATTACGGCTGGGAAGAAAGTTTTTATTTTGGCACACAGTAATTGACTGTAACATCTGTCAAGGGTGTAGTGGTGGTACACGATTTGAAGTTAAATAGAGAGTGGTTTGTCTCTACGGATTCGTCACTGAGATGTGTTCTCTGACTCGTCCACTGTTAGGATAACTACATTTTGCCAAAGACTTCCTCCACCCAGAATGATGCAGCTCGGACACAATGTCCTGGATTTGTATATTGACAAAAGACAGAGATTCAAATCCTTGTCCACCCACCAGCTGAGTCAAGAATCAAGCGCCATACCGTTTGGCATTTTACCACTTCAATCTGTGGGCAGATGATACAACTGCAATGAGTTATCTTTCAAAGACAACTCCATTGGTAGCCTACAATCAGATAC